CACATGCAATTCAAAAACGCTCTGAGAGATTCCTATGACTTCGTAATAACAATCCGGACTGTACCAATTTCTCAATAATTTCCCAGAACTTTCGTTGAAGGAAGGAAAGAAAATTTTCAAAGGTGTGTTAATGAATTCGATGGTTCGTTTACGAACAAGAATAGGAACATCTCTGTATCGAGTCTGAAAGGCCATTTATGAAATTCTTCAGCTATACAATTAAAAACCGACGAAAACAATTTGTTCGATCCCTTCTTAACCATTTCTCGATTACTGGTCGGGAAAAAGGTGTTCATTCGTTCAAGAAAAGCTTTCCTCTGCAATAAAAGGGGAGATACATCGGTCATTAGAAAGTTAAGAAGGCAACGAGCGAGCAAACATAAAAAATAGAATTATGAAAAAATCTACCACATGTTATGAACATGCATTATATGTTCAAACGTGCGAGAAACTTCTACGAAGGAAGGAAAAAATTTCAAAGTCAAGAATATTTATTGTTCTTCCCGTGTTCCTCGATCGTTAGGAAACAACGAAAGAAATAAAATGTCAATAATTAGAAGAAGCTCGCACGTCGTGTCATTTCTAGTAATGCATTCCAAGCATGCAAACTAAAATACAAATATGTAAAAAATGATTAAAGCTATGTATATATGTATATATTTGCACACAAAGTAGATAAGAAGGCAAACAAACATAATTTCGCTTTTGAAATTGTTCTCTGTTATATATTGCACACATTTACAGGATATGTGCGAGACACGATTCATCGGTTTGCTTGTTTAATCGATGAAGCATGTTTTCACCTTCATGTCATTTCTATCAATTTTCTTTTTTTTTCCTTTTAACAGTTTAACCACGATTTTATTATGTTTCTTCTTTACTTGTCAAAGCTACTACCCGAGAGACAATATTCATTTACAAGTTACACATATTAATGTATACACGCTATATATTTTTCTCTTTTCTTTTCTGTTTCTGTCCAATTAAACGGAAATAAACTAACGTTCTACTGTTGTTGAAGAAAGTATACTTTTTCCTTATGTATCAACTACAAGTACGTGCAAAATTGACTACAAGTTTCATATTCGATGTCACTGATCGATTGTTGATTTATTTCATTCAATATTGCATGAAGGATACAAAACGATAACTATGAGACAGCTTGACAAATATATAATTATCCTTAGTATTTTTTCCTTTTGTCACGAGAAACTTGTAGCCCGAGTCAAAGCAACATGCACTATTGTTAAAAGTGAGCTACCAAATTTCTATTGAGTAAAAATATTATAAATACGCTGAGCTTAAATACAGCATTCGTGTCCACCCCGTTGACTCACTGTACCATCTTGTGACACGTCGCTTCTAAGAGAATTTATTTCTTCTTTTCTTTTTTCTTTTTACTTTTAATTCGCCCACAGACAGAATCGAAAACAAATTTTTGTACATGTTCGCGAGAAGAACATGCTTGAATTCTCTCTTAAAAAAGAAGCCACAAGAGGCGCAGCGAGCATCGAAACGAAGAAAATTAAAAAAAAAAAAA